TTTTCGATCGAGGTGCAAGGGTATCGTTGATGGGCAATCCGCAGCTATTTCCGATGGCTAATCAGCTTATATAATAAGTTGCCTTTCCACACTCTGCCAGTTATCTAATTTGCAGTGCCGGAATCAACACTTTGTAAAGCTGCCATAACAAGCGTTAAGTGGATGAAAGCCAGCTTCCATTTATCGGTAATTGCGTCGCTCGCTGCGATTGTCGGGGCGTTCCATCGAGCGCTCTTAGCTCGAAATGCATACAATTTGCGCTACTTATGCTAAAATCGCAGCTGCATTCCAGCCTTGGGTCCATGGAGCCATCATCGAGCACCTGGCTGGCTGCTCCACCAAAGAGCCGAACAGAGTTTGCCATCTTCAATCGGCGGCAACGGGCGAAGGCCCAATGAAGCATGTAATTCGCGCAGCACTAGCGCTACAAGTAATTCCAAATTGATGGCGCGAAAATTACGACAAGCACTGTGAGCCAAAGTCAAAGAAGCCAGGCAGCCAGGCAGCCAGGCGGCGAGAAGAACCGTTAGGAAGCTATAGCTATAGCTCCAGATCCAAATCCAGTCATCTGTGAAATGCAACTTTGCTGGCTAAATTGCAGCATGCTGCATTTTATTTCGGGCCCCGCGGAGTTAATTGTGTGAGCCAGGCGGATTGGTTATGGCTCGTGTGTGGCGCCTGTTAGACGGTTTAGTTCGCAAATTGGCCTACAAACTTGTCACCATTTATCTCACTCAGTGTCAGCGGCATCTCAAGGAGGCGGAGTGATCCCATATCCCATATCCCATATCCATACGCAAACTTATACGGGCGCGTGTTTCTGTTTTTTTTTTTCGGGGGCAAGCCAAACTTTGCGAGTCTGCCATAAAATGCGTGTCGAGAACACAAAATGACACTTAAGCGGTAAGAGGAGTCCCGAGCCCCTGACAATATTGAATATGCCGAGGCAAACACACTCGCCGGCACACTCAATCAGGTATCATTTAGGAGGCAACCATCAATCTTGTCCTCATCCTCCGACTCCGAATCCGGTTTTATCTCGAGTGACGTGCAGACGTACGCGTAGATGCTCCCTGGCGGCGCAGGCAAATGTATTTGGCAATGTTTGCCATTGTTTGGCCAACAATAACAATCGATGTCACCAGCAGCAGCAGTAGCAGCCCAAAAGAGCCCCAAAACTAAACTAAAAACGGGAACACTTGAGGAAAACTCCCCCTCGTTGTATTGCATACTTTGGGGCGCCGGTGGAAATCGCTATGGCAATGGCATCATCACTCATGATGAAAATGATGATGACGAAATGGTATCGGGGATGGATGTTTAAAGAAAAATGAAAGTGTTGTGCATACACTTCGGGAACAAGGTACGATGTTCGACATGCCCATCAAAGTGTCAGTTGCATTCGCAATCTGTACTCTTTTTCAGTAAGGTAAAGGGAGTATCTGGAAAACGAGTTCAAGAAAATTTCCTCAAGAACCTTTACTATTTATACCCATAAAATACAAATCATCATTAAAATTTACAAAAAAGGAATTTAGTTAAATGAGTTTCGCTCTTATAAAAATTTAACTGGGTTAAACAGTTAATATGTAATTATAAAATTATTATAATAATTTTGTAAGACCCTTGAAACAATTTTCCTTTATCCCACAGATAAAAACAAAATGCTTAAATTAAAAGCTTCAATATTTTTCCGATTTAATATTTACTTTTAATTTACTGGCGAGCGGAAGCGCCCCTTGAGAACTTTTGAAGCCAGAGCAATGACACTGAGTATGGACATTTTGCATGGGTCACGCCCATGGAAACGTGCAGGACCTCCAGAAATTTGCGGGAGCTAAGCCCCCACAAGCATTCGAATTAACCCTTTGAGGTCGCTGGGCATTGACATTGCACAGCGAGGGGATTGGGGATTGGGGATCGAGGGTATCGCCGCCCATCAACGCCATCCTTTCGTTTTGGCACGCGCTTTTGTGCGAAAATATGCAATTGAAATGTTAAATAAATAAAGGCGTAAATACTTGAAGGGTAAGCCAACAGAGCAACAAGAAGTGTGTACATTCAAGCGCCGCCGGATGGATCCGGCAGATACACAAAAGTGCAAATACATAAGGGGAGCGCACAGGCCGTTATGCATTCCATAACTTTGCAGTCGTCGGCAGACGTTGACGTTGAAGCGAATGAATGAAAATATGCAGGCAACGTGATTCCGCCACAGCTAACGGGACACCCGGCCCCGATTGCCACTCCCACTTTGCCACCGCCCTTGCGCCCAACGCCCAACATCCACGCCCACTTCGAATCCTCGACCTCCACGGCGACGCCATATTGTTTGCGCGCCATTGGGAAACGTTACCGTTAGCCATCGCCATCAGCATCCGTTACCTCCTTCGCAGTTACCTGTTACACCCAAAAAACTGGAGGCGAAATCATCGAAGGACCAACTTTCCTGAAGGGGAATTCGTGCGGAATATCGTATCTATTTTATAGAGAAATATATATATTAGTATCTTTACCTAACATGGTTTCCAAATATATTAAACGTTTTAATTACAATAATTTGAAACTCATTCCCCAACTCTGCAGATCCTTGAAAGCTATATCTCTTGTTTATAGCTTATAAATATATCTAGATAAAACTCGAAATATATCTTTCCATACATTTTAAAATTATTAAATTATTATTATTAAACTTGTATTATCATAAAGAATCTTATAACATCTTTTAATTTTATGTTACTCCAAATTTTATTTTGTATTATAAAATTTAAAATCCTTTTTTAAGTGTACGTGTTACCTGCTCGGGAAAAACGGCAACAGCAAAAGCAACAGCACAGCAAAAGCGAAGGCAACAGCAACATTCGTTTGCTGGTATTTTCTGTCGAGTTCAGCGTAAATTCATTCATTTCCACTTGAATTTACAATTATGCGAAACTGTTGTTGAATGGGTTTTGACTTGGCTGATGCCGAGTCGGGATTGGATTGGAGTGGAGCTGGGTTTTCGGGGGTATCCTGCATCTTCCTCAGTCTTCCATGGATATTTATGCATATTTCCTGCTCTTGCCATTGGCAGCAGCATCGGCAACTTGGCTGTTTAGCTTTTAATAAACTGCGGTTGGTCGGGAGTCGGCGTCGAAAGGTGAACTCGATGGGATGTCTGAATGCGAAGCACTGCTCTGGAAATTGTCAACAGCAGTGGCAAGGTGACTAGTGAAAAGCGTGTTGCCTTGGAAACGTTTGGGGATCCTGCTCGCTGAATCCATGTTGAAATGTAATTAAGCTTGTGACTTTGGGTGTGAAACTGACGGATTAATCACGAGAGACTTACACGCAGAAATTATGGTTTATTATTTAGCAATTTTAGTTATTTCCATATGTTTTAGATAATAATTCTTTACCATATAAAAATATAAAATAGGTAATTGGATGCCAAGAAGTGGGAACTACCATTTTTTTGTTACCTCATCTCTGTGCAATAAATTTAAACACTTCAAAATGAAGTAAAAAGTAATTTATAAATATTGTATGTGACGGAAAAAATCTGCGCTCATTTTCCAGATCCATTTTTATCCAGATAAGTTTTCTACTGGTTTCGAGGGCTCTTATCCCTCGCAAAGTAACTTTTTGGGAAGCAACTTTTCAGGCCCGAAACCGGAACCATTCCTCGGTGAAAACTTTTGCCACCCTGCACTTTCGGCCGGCAAGCACTGCAATTCAATGTCATATCCTTGAAACGGGGTGCATAAAAAGCGAAGGAAGCCCGCTGGCCATAAAAAAAATCGGCAGGCCAAAGTTCTGTTATTGAAAGTTCATCGATGAATGTGAAAGGAAAACACCCGGCTCCTTTTCCCCTGCGGCGAACTCTGCAAGTCTGCAAGTCCGATGTCCTGGCTTGTTGGCTTGCTCGGCTTGCGGCGGCTTACAGCCCATTTCCTTCTGCTATTCCAACATTTTCATCTCCTTTTGTGAAAGGGTCTACTAATTTCCTCGGCCATTCCCGACAGACCAGACATCCTCGGCAGCGGCATATCCTGCAGCCTTCTGCTTAGCCAGCATTTGTATGTGACCGATGCGTCGGTCTGTTGTTTGCATTTTTATTTGTATTTCATTTTCAATTGACTGGCAGGCAGGCAGGCTGGCAGGCAGGCAGGCGGAGGGAACCCGAGAGCTTTTCCTACCTGGGGCCACCTTTGTGCATTTCAGCCATTCATCAGAGTTATTTACTTTTTAACGAGTTGATTTCATTCAATTTGTTTGCCCAGGTTTCAGTGGCTATTACCGGAGCTGTCCGGAGAGAACTGCCCATTAAGCTGCAACTGAGCCCCCGTTAAAGTCACTCGCTCAGTTTCCAATCTGGAGATTTTCCGATACCATCCAGCAGTTAACTTCCGCGCACTCCGCAATTTTCGAGCTCTTGTTTTCTTTTGTCCCTTTTTTGCGCCCGATGCCAGTGCTCCGTCAAGTTTTCGGTGCCTTCGGCGATGTTCGGTTTCAATAAATATTTTCACAATGAAGAAATTAAAAATTCCTCGAAATACAATATGTAGCCTGCCCCCGAAAATCGTTGAGAATCCGGGCCACGGCGCTTCCAGCCGGCAGCGTCTATTTATATATGAAAACTTAGTTTGTCTTCGATAACAACAACATTGAAAGTTGAGCGGCATCGCAAAGAGTGAGTGTCCCGAACCCGGACAATTCGATTGAAATTGTTGCCGGTGGCTATGATTTTATGAGAGCTCTCTGCCTTTTCGCCAAAGCGGTTCGAAATAATTAAATTGCTGGCATTTCACAGATGCTTCGGGAATATTTACCAAATTAGCCACCAAAGAGGCTAACAGGGTCAAATTGAAAGATGAACGAGTTTAAGCATTCTTGAAATAAATCAAATTAAGTAAATTGAATGACTGGTGAATGTTAACTGATAATTGTCGTTTGTAAATCCGTAATTTCTGGAAATGTTTAAAGGAAAATCTGTTGAAAGTGGATAAAAAACACATAAGTACTTGCTACTTTTATATTATTTATAAAATGTAATTTTTACATTTCTGATAAAAATGGTTCTGCTCTTTAGTTGCTGTCTGTTTTTGTTGCTCTTGGTAGAGTTTTCCTCGATTTCAATACCAATTTTTTTTTTATCGTTTTAGGCTTTTAGTGGCCTGCAAAACAGGCCATTATTTTGTAGGCCTTGTCGCAGGCATTGTCACCAGTGACTTTGCTGCACTTTTCCAAAGCCTTTTCGAGGTCGTCCTTCAAGTTCGTGTTGGCATAGTGAGCCTTTATCTTGTCGGTCATGAGATTTCCCTTGGAGTCCATGAAACCGCTCTTCGCCATAATGCATTGGGTGGAACATTTGATGTTATCCTTGGCATCCATGGGCTTCACCTTGCCCGATTTCAAGTCAGCCAGTTCTTGCTCAGTGACTCCGTTTTCCTTAATGCAACCCTCCACTAAGGCCACGGATATCTGGGAATCCAATCCTTCTTGCTATTTGGGAGGGTTTTCCCTGTTAATATATTCCAATTTATAGGAATTTATTACTCACCGAAAGAATCCCTGCAATGAAGCTAAGCAGCAGAGTCAAAGACAAAGTAGCCCTCATTTTGCTTCGCTTTCTAGTTAACTAATCGCTCACTAAATTTACACCTGGTTTTATAGTTTGACCTGAACTTTGCGTGACGCTTTGAATTTGTCAATTCATTTTGTGCTGCATATTGATTATCACTAAAAGTAGAGAAGCATCAGTCACGCTGACTGACTAACTTCGAAATTTATTGCCACTGCCAAGGTCGTTAACTTAAAGGTCGGTTTAATTTTTGATGCAGTTTATACAATTAATATTAGAAAAATAATATTAGGCAAGCAACTTACTGCCTTAAAAAATATTTCAAACGTCAGAATTAAACAAAAAGATTGGGAAAAGGAGTTTTACACAAAATAATTCTTATAATTAATTTATTTAGCAGGGCAGCAAAATGCCACCTTGATCCAAGTCCGTTTATCTGGTTCATAATTACTGCTGCTATCTGCTTAATTATGAATAATTAGTTGTTTATTTTAGGGTGAATTTTAGTAGGAATGCATTTGTTTAGAATGCGCCAAAGCTATTAACGAAAAGGGTCAACGAAATAATTTGCCACTAAGCCCGCTGCAATTTGTGATGAAAATACGCTGATTAATTAACACGCTTACCGTAGTGCATAATTTATTTGAAAAGAAAGGGATTCGCTGAAAATGGCGACTATCCCGATGCCGATTACATAATTCCGATATTTTGTAATTGCATTTGTACGGTATTACGGTAATTGGCTTTTTTGCGCCAGCACTGCGGCTAATGTTTTTATAATTCCTATTAGCAGTATGAATATTATTATAATACATTTCGCACTATTTTTGAGTGGTGCGCACATTTTCGTTTAGTTTAATGCGATTTCAAACGCTAATTGAAATCCTTTTAGAGTAATTGCAAAAAATTTAATAGCCCTTAGCGGGCAAGGAGCTCGGCTTTAGTTTGGCCGTATGGCAATCTCATAGTGGTAATTAGAAGAACAAACTAATTTAGTAAATTACTATTTAGTGGCCCCTTTCGCATGGGCCAACTGGCCACAGCTTCTGCCGCACACAAAGGTCATTTTTGGGCTTTGAAGTTTCGGGCTTTGAAATGCGCCAAAGGACATTCGAACAAATGGCATCCTTTGAGCATTTGTGTGTGTATATGTGTGTGTGTGTTGTATATCCGTGTTGGTGAGTGTATCCGTGTGTACACATTGCAATTGCTGTCGAAACATCAAAGCTATGCGAGTTTTCCAGTTGACTTCATCAGTAGATTGTGTGAAGTATGCCAAAAATGTGTTGGGAACGCTCGAACCGTTTTGCCTTTTTCCACCGCCCAAAACGAGTAGTTTGCCCATCCGCCTTTAAGTTGCGCTTTAAGCCCTGACGGAATGTGGGGCAAGTTCGTCTTCGGTTCCGGGGGCACGTGCTGCCAAGCCGGAAGGAACACGCGCCCAAGTCCGGACTTCAAGTCGCTAACGCAATTGCCCGCCGACGAGTCTCAGTGCGCTTGGTAAAACAATATTGGCCAAGCTTTTAAAACACATTTTACATCTACTTCAGCTTAATTGACGCGTGGCCTTTGTGAAATCGACAGGACGGCGAAATTTGAGATCGAAGGCTCGTCGAAGAGTGTGCTCGATGGACAGGCAGGCGATTTAATTAGTTTAACGCCCCGAGGGCATTAGCATTATTGCTAGAAACGAGGTTCATCTTACAGAGAGATAAATAAAATGGGAAGTACATTTTAAAAAATGATGAAAAGTAAGACTACATATCTTATTATAATAATTTGTAGTATTATAGAAAAATGCAAATATAAATCATACAAATCATGGGTTACAATTCATAGTTAAGTTAGTCAAGTTTTCATACTAGAAACAGCACTCTTAAAATATTTATTATTTAGATTCCAACGACCCTTCTTGTAAATTGAATTTCCCTTGGAGCAAAGCTCTGATTCCAGAGCCTACGCAAGCCTACGCTATCGAAATTACATAACTCACCTGGGAGTGTGTCCTTCCCGCCCACTTAACATCTCCTCTGCGAAAGCCACAAATTCCAGCACAGGATAAATATGAAATGCAGCCAGCACAGCACAGCACCATTGACAGCCAAAGTGGCAGAGGAGACAATGGGGGAGGGAATTATTAAGTCGGGGGCTTCCCCCGATTTGTCCGGCTGTTTAAAATAGCAAACTAGACCGGGGCCCGTAATATGTCCTCCGGCTTAGCGCTCATGTGTTGCTGTTGCCGGCTATTGTCTGACTAGGGCTTTACAACTCATAAACAGCAGACCGGCCCACTCCTCGCTGGTAATAACAGTTTAAGCTTGGGGCTCTGACCGAAAATTGTCCACATCTTGTTGTTTAATTTTTTTTTTTCGGGCCTACCTCCCCATGCCAACTTCATCACTGCGGGTGTTTTTCTTTCGCCCGCTCGATAACAAGCATTTTTACATGTGCTAAAAAAACAGAGAACGGCCAAAAGTCGGGCCAGATGAAGATGAAGCTTGCCCCGGGCCCATCCCCAATGGGCTCTTCCAATTTTTGGCCTGGCTGCATGTGCGTTTATGACTTCATAATGGCCAACGATGGGGGGATGTGGCTTCGGGGAGGCATCAGAAACAGGAGCACCATCCCAACCCCCAGGATATGCACTGCATTGCGGGGGTGGTTGGCTACTATTCCTGTTTCTGATCCTGATTCTGCTGCTCGAGCTATGGATTTGCGTAGGCGTGGCGTTAACATGCGACTAAGTCCTTTTATATCCGGGAGCATTCGCTTTGGCTTACGGCTCAGCCCGAGTTTTAGCCACGGCAACATATCTCGGGCCTTGGACTATCATCAATTGCTGTCCCCACGGTGTAGTTAGGGCCATGGCCCGAATCCCGAACCCCGCTTCCTGGCTTATATAGGCCAACATCGGCAGCAGCAGCAGAATTTAATGCCGACCTTTGGGAGCTATTGCGGCCAACGCTCCAGCAACAGGAGCATCGCCGCCAAGCATCTTGGCCATGCAAGTTTTATGCTCATGTGTGTGCGCCGGCCCTGTTTTATAAACAATTTTAAATTGCCGGCCCCCGAAATGAGGCAAGAGCCATCCATGGCTCTTTTGTAGGCAAATTGTTTTATATGTGCGTTGGCTGGAGCTCTGCAGTTTATTGGCCAGATTGACGGCGAGCTGGGGGCCCCCGGCATAACTTTGCATAATCCCAGCGAAACTGAAACTATGTGGCTACATAATGCGCCACATTAACTTGCAGCCCTCAGGAGCACTCACACTTTGTATATTGGGCATAAATCTCAGCAGGAGATGAATAAAACCCAAGATGATGCGGAAAAAATTAGAAAATAAGCGCAAAATAATAAACCATCCAGCGCCAGCGAAAGAGTCTCAAAAATAATATAAATAGCGAGCAAAATAAAACAGAAAAAGACGAACAAAACATAAACAAAGAGGCAAACAAACAGTCGTCGTAGCCGTGGATACGGCAATGCGCCATGTGGCACACATGCTGCACCACTCAACCACTCAACTCGGCCGCCGAAGCCATCCAAGCCACCCAGCACCGAGCACGCAGTCACCTATCCCTGCCCCAAATCCCTGCTCCACCTTTGGAGGCACTCGGCAGACCGCATGATTTCATCTTTCGCTTTCGTGCAGACAACTTACGCGCGGAATCCACGGACCGGGAATGTTAGAATACTCTTTTATAAAGGGAAAGTAATGGGGAATACTTGAGTTCTAAGTTAAGTCTATAAATTAAAAAAAATTATTTGGACGAGGTTCTAAATGAACTAGAAAATTATCTGATTGTATAATGAATAAGGTTCTTATAACTCCATTAAAGAACAATAAATTTTTGGAGTTAATATTTAATAAATCGAACAAAACGGATAAGTCAAATTCAAGATATTCTAGAATAATCACAAAATATATATATCTTATATTTATTATGTTTATGGAACTCTACAAAAGTGTTTTTTAATATCTAAGATTGGCTTGTTTTTCTTGTGATGTTTATAGATTCAGATATAATATTTAAGATAGCACTAAAGATATTTGGATATACTTATTTCTGAAACATATCCTTCTTAAGGGTATTCTTCCTCCACTTCATACCCACTGGGAATACGAAATTCATTTTTTCATTAAATTCGCCTAAGCAAAATGCTAGCCCTGCCAAAGAAAAGAGTATGGGAGAGATGATTTATGGAGCAGACTTCATAAAGTTCATAAATGTCGCGGCAAGCAGGCGGCAGGCAAAAAGAGGTGTGTGTGCGTGAGCAAGTGAATGGGTGTGTGTGTGTACAAGTGTGTGTGAGACAGACACTACAACAACAAAAGCAACATTAGTAACCACATTCATGCAGTTGACACTTTCACCTGGCTGAAAACGGGGGAGATTCGCGAAGGAGGGGCACATTTTTGCGCATTTAATTAACTAAAATGCTATAAATATGATTTTAAATTAATTTACTTGCGTGAGTTATTAAATTACAAAATGCACGGTGTTTTCGCATTGGAGTGGCTAATGGGAAAAATGGGAAGAGTGCGAAGGGTGGGGCCTGATTGTTGGGTGGCCGACCCAAATGAAGGCTGGCAAAGTGCCATTTTGTGTTCCAGATTTGTAGATTTTGGCAAATTTATTTGCATCTTACATTCATATTCTCTGAAGTCCGGCGGTGTGCAATAATTTATATCTAAAGTACTTGCTTGATCTCTCAATTTTCTTGGCCTCCTTTAGTTTTCCCGTTTCTATTTGTTTTGTGCCGCACGGTGTTTTCGCCAAATTCAATCTTCATTTTTCAGTGTTATGGCGGGGCAGAAAACGGTGGCAACCGTCAGAAACTAATTTCTTGTTGCCCATGGAGCCCGGCACCTTACACACTTTGGTTGTCCCCAGACGAAACCGACGGCGGAAAGCTGCCAACCGCATTTGAGCCGCCGTCGGGCGTTTCGGAGGGTATTAAATTGTCTGGTCGCATATCGTGGCGTAGTCAAATTTCCGCCGTGCAGTCGAGCTCTCTGCCACAAGCCCGGACCCGCAACGAACAC